TGTTGTAAAAGTCGCCTTTTGTCAAATAGAATGACATCGAGTCTTCTTTCAATCTCCGCTATTGTGTCAGCGAAAACCGTCTCGCTTGGTAGCAAGTTCCAAGGTCGGAACGCAGGTGTTGGCCGCATGAGTATTTAAAAGTAGCCGAAGATAATGAAGGAGACCATACATTGGGCGCTGGTCAGTGTACGCTGTCTACGAGGACGAAGTACATTGAAAGTCACGGCGTATTTACTGCATATTCTGTCGTGGCTGTGCACTGCGGCAACGGTTGCTTCAGGCCGCGCGCATGCGATCCGTGGTAGGGCCCGTGGCGGTCGGAGTGAAAGGACAAACTGCATGCAGAAGGCACTGGTTAGATAATACGAAAGCGTGGACGAACTAGACTAACGAATGCAACCGGTGTGTGCGGAATATTACCTCGATAATGCCAGCTGCCTCAACCATCACCTAGTTTCGCGGGGGATGTGGGTCGCTTTAAGGGCTGTGACGGTAAAAGAAAATGACCCATTCCAACCGTACTGCGTTGGTCATGTTCTGTGGTTAGACAGCCATGTGGCTACGTTTCGTGCAGGAAGTGTTTCGTGTTAGGAATGGGTCTTGACAGCCGACGGTGTTGCTGTCGTATTCCGTAGCTGCTTCATCCTTCGCCAAGTTTCGCGTCGGATGCGCTTCGTGGAAGGGGCAGTGGCGGAAGTAGGAAAGGACGGAGCCCATGCGCAGATAGAAGACCTTACGCATTCTACGCTTGGATCCGTCTCAACCGTCAGTCGCGTAATCTGCCGTTGCGTTTCTCGCGGATGTAATTCACCTAGGGTTCTGTTGCGGGCGTATGAAATGTCCAAGTCAATAAGCAGGGAGCCGTTAAATCACTTTGAGCGCTTGGACGAAATGCACTAAGAGTCGCAACCGGTGTTGTTCTATATTCCGTAGCTGATGGTCGCTGCTTAACTCCTCGTCCAGTTTCGCGGTGGATGTGGGTCGTACATATGTATGTGGCGGAAGTAGGCAATGACGGAGACCGTATGTAGGGCGCTGGACGAAACACAAGGGGTGGGGCAGGAACCGTTTTTTGCTGTCTGTTTCATCGATGCTGTATGCTGTTTCACCCTTCGCGAAGTTTCGCGGAAGATAGCGTACCGTGCAGTAGTCTGAAGCTGAAACAGAGAGTGATAATGAACATACGTAAGTGGCAGGTGCGTGGGCTATGATGAGGGCTGATATGTTGCTACGTTTCGCGCCGGATTAGTCTCGTGTTAGGTACCGTTCGCGTAAGCAACCGGTTCTACTGTATATTCTTTCGCTACTGCCCGTAGCCTCATTCCCAGCAGAGTTTCACGGCGCGGGGGTTTCGTTGAAGGGGCAGTG